ATCAGATTAAATTCAAAAAGTTTTGAAATAAAATCGACTATTTTTAATCTACTGTTATCGTTAACATTTTTTACAGGAGGATCATCAAAATTCCAGGTCAGGTGCATCGGGATGGCTTAAGTAATGTTAGCCAACATAAGTTTATAGTAAAATTATCAGCTGGGCATTTTTATCTAATGAATGGGCTATGACTTCATTGGTAAAATTTTTAGTGTTCTTGGACAAAATTAATCAATTCCGGAACATCTGACTAGGATTCCGATGCATGCCGACCCGGAATTTTAGTGATCCTTCTGTATAAGTTATTGTTAATGTTAAACATAAAATCTACTGTTTGTGTAGAATCTTATGAAAAACAGTATACTAACAGGATAAAACATGTCACTACACCTAATTTGGATAAAATTTGTTTTGACATTAAATTCTTTTACCAAACATATGGTAAATGTGTCTAATTATATAAAACTGACAAGATAAACATGGCACTACGCCTTTTTTAGTTAATTTGTTGTAACGTCAAATTCATTTTTACCAGATGTGTGATAAACTTTAATTTTTGTATTACCGTATTATTTATTTACTGTTGAGTAAAGTATGCCACCGCGCCTTTTTTAGAATATTTTGGAAGAAAAATTTTTTCTTGCTGTAATGTTAAATTTAATAGTTACTAATTAAAAGAATATTAGAACATGTGTTGGCAGTGATGATATCATTATATTATATAAATTATATATAAATTATTTAAGTTATAACGTTTACAAAGAATAGTGAAAAAAAATATACCGCCACGCCTTTTTTGGCAAATTTTGAAGAGGATGATATTTTTTCCTCACTATTTATAACCAAGCTAGAAGTATATGAAATAAGACATCATTTAAACTGTCTTATTACTAATAATTAATGGATAATTTACCTACCTTGCCTATTAGCCGTAAAATAAAATCAAGTGTTGTTTGGTGTCCATTACTACCAAATCTTCAATGTATACAACTGCCGCTAACTGAAATACTTTCTGTATTAGACTTGTACACATTTGATATAACATCACCTGGAGGCGATAAACTTTGTGAAGGTTATAAAATTTTATCTGAGGACTGCATAAATGGAAGTTGAGTAAGTTGTTTTTGAGTGGCACAAGTTATATATCAAGTAGATTCTTATTATTTTTTTAATAAAGGTGTGTAAAGGAGATGTAAAAACAATTACACTTGTAGATGAATATGAGATGCAATTATCAGATTCAATATTTGCATATGTGGAGTATCTGGGGTGTTTTGCTCGAGTATATGTGATAAAAAAAATTTTTGTTCATTTTTTAATAAATTATAAAATACTAATTGTATTTTTTAAAGAATGGTTGTAACAAGGGCAAATGCGACTGGAAAGGTCGTATTTCAGTTCCTCGAGATAAGCCACTTAACCTGTGTAATATTGAGTATCACGAAAATCATGATCCCGAACACGTTCGGAAAAAACTACTTCGAATGTCCAATTCAGTAAGAAAAACAATCACAAAGAAAGTTGAAAATGTAACTCCTTCAATGTTAGCAATAGGTAAGTTCAGAACTAAGTGTGTTTAAACAATTTGTTTTTTTAGATCTTTAAAACTGGACCATCATGAATGACATACGTTGCTTTTATCTTGATTTCAGAGCTTATGAATCATTCAAAAATTCTTGATACAACCTCTAATACCCTGGCAAATCAAGTTCAACTAACATCTACTCGAGTTGCACCCAATCTTGAGTCAATTCAAAATGCTCTTAAATATGATAAAAAGTTGTTTCACCCAAGCACATCAGAATTTGAAAAAGTAAAAAAAAATTTTTTTTTTTTAATCCGCAAATATACTCCCAGGACGTCATAAGCCGTAAAAGAATTTTTTCTTTTTATTGTTTAGTTATTTATATATTTATTTATTCTCTTTGATTAAACAGGTTTGCTCTCTAATGGATAAATATGAAATTGAAGGCACCATTATATCAAAACAATATGGTGTCAAGGGTGCCCAAGATCCTAAAGAACAAGCTGTACTTCTTGGTGTTGCATCCACAATTATGCCAATTCTTTTAAACAAATATCCAGATTTTCTGGCTGTAGACTCTACTGGCCGTCGCAATAGCTTAAACTTTCTAAATACTGCTTTCATGGTTAGGTCAAATGAACCCCGTGGTCGAATTGTAGCAATATTTGTAAGCGACAAAGAAACAATATCAGTTGTCGATCTTATGTTTGAGTCAGTAAGTATTTTATATATCCTTATAGATTTTATTGGATAATCTTATAACTTTTGCTGTTTGAAGTTTATACAATATAGTGTTAAAAATGGTGTCCAATTGAACCCTAAATGGCTAGCTATAGATAAATGAGATCCTTATCTTGCGGTGGCAAGAAAACACTTTCCTAATACACAAGTCGTTTTGTGTGACTGGTATGAGGGTGATTTTTTTATAAAATTTTATTGTTCTTTTTGTCTATATGTTTTTTTTTATATTTTTTTTTGCAATATTATTACTTTAGCTGATGTACTTAAGGAATGGTTTACGAAAAATTTGAATGACCAATGGTTTAGAGATAGAGTATTCTATCAATTCTGATTTGTTAAATGGTTCCGGGATTAGGAAGAATTTGACCAATGGAGGATTACTCTTATAGACGCCAAGAAGCTTCAGGCTGTTGCTGGAATTGAAAAATTAGCTGTTGCGGAGACGATTGCATCTTATTTTAGGAAGTACTGGTTTGGTGATTAGATTGATTAGTAAAAATTTATCATTTTTGATACCTTTCATATTTCATACTAACACTATAACAGATACATGGCCAGATTATAAATGTAACAATTGTCCTATGAAAACTAATATGCTATTGGAAAGCTATTTTAAAAAAGATATAATATTACACTATCGTGGGAGATATACAAAATCTTTATACGCAAATCTTGAAAAAATAGCTACGTCAATGCATGTGGATAGTGGGGAGATTGAAAAGTAAATATATATTTTTTTTTCTTTATAAAGTTCGATTCAATTATCTGTAAAAAAAAAAAAAAAATTAAATTCTAAGTACTGTAAAAAAAATTAAAATTTACAAATAACATAAAACAATCCTTTCTGTGAAGGTTTTGGCGAGAAGAAGGAAAACCTCCTACAACATCGAAATTACAACGAGAAAAAAAAAAGTATACACAATGGGAGAACTCTTATATAAAAATGACCATGTTCAAGGTAAGCATATCTGCACTAAATCTTTATATAAGTAACTCTCGATATAAGAACTCTTGATATAAGAAAGACTAATAAAATTTGATATAAGAAAATTAAAGTCAAATCTTGTTTATAACAAATCACTTAATATAGAAAGTTATTAATAAACTTTACTATTGCTATTACCTTATTATACCAGATTTACTTATATATGAATTTATATAATATAATATCTGAATTTTAAGAACCGTTTTTGCATAAAAAAAGTTGACTTTGCTGTATTATTATTTGTGCATTATATTCACAATCATTTATATTTTAAATTTTCCAGAAATTGATCAAGATACTTGGAATGTGTTCCGATTTGGTACAAATATTGATACTCAATATATTGAAATGGAAGATATCAGTGAAGAAAACTTTGAATCAGAGATCTCTACTTCAATTGACGGGTATAACAAAACTTTGTGTGTCACATGTAGAAGTAGAAAATTCGCTTGTCCATGTAGCTTTAATGTAATTCGCGGCCACGATTGTCAAGATATTGTAGCTGTTCAGTTATTTATTGATAAGCCTGAGTTACAAAAGTAAGCATCATTTGTTTATTAATTTTTTCTATATATATATTAATAGTTCTATTTTTCTTTTTACAGTACCTTTAATTCTCATGATAAATCCAAGCTAAAATGGTAAAAAAAAAAAAAATCTTGCTGATTTCTTTTTATTTTTATAGCAAATCAATTGTCAGTAGTATAGAGAACATACGAAATATATATTATATAATAATTAAGCGTGATGGATATATATGTCATATTTTTATTAAATGAGGCGAATTTGTTCATTTTAATTCGCAATGTTTGAATTCATAAGTTCATATATAAAAAAATTATAACCTTAGTAATAAATTAAATATTTAACTATTAAGACTATATTTATGAAATAAGAATTTTGTATTAGTAAATTTATAATTAATTTAATAATACTAATATATAATTTGCTTTTGCTACATTATAGGTCTGCAGCTGAATCAGCTGCAAGCAGCTCTCTCGAGTCCTATCTTCGCCAGAAAGATGCTAATGGTCACAATAAAAATGAACTCAAGTTACCCGAGAGAAGAGGTCCTAAAAATAAGAGAAAAAGTCGATTGGTACCAGGAGAATCTATTCAACTACGGGATACAATATTAAACATACCTTACTATACGGTGAAAATTGTTGAAATTATTGGTGAGAGTAGAGTTATTGTGAATATTACCTTTGAAAATGGTAGTCAAAATCAACGCATAGTTCAACTGGATGATATAATCGGATATGCCGATGAGCAAGTAAAGAAAAAATCAAAAGTAATATGACTATGATTTTATTTGGGTTGTTGTGCAACCAAACCATGTTTAGAGTATATATTTTATATATACTCTAAGCATGATTTGGTTGCGTAACAACATCTAATTTTTTGTTTTTCGATACTATTAATATAATTTATAAATTGATACGTATTAGGTGAATAGGCAACTTATATCTTCACAACCCATATCATCGTCCAAGGATTCTCATGGCAACATCGTTGTTTTTACAATACCATTTGGAGGAAAGAAAGGCACATTGTATTTAACCTCTACTTGTCCTGTGGATACGAGTCTTATACTTATCCAAAGTGTCTTTACTCACCAAGATATTTATAACCAAGCTACTGCTTTTGTATTAGCTGATTCAAATTCATATACACATCTTCTCTATCAAGTTCTTGATCATATGGAAAAGAAAAAATGGGTAGAAGCTAAATTCTTTTAGATTGAGAAGTTGCCATCATATACTGAATTATCAAGAACAGATCAAGTAGATTTATTTGGGGGACTTTCAGAATGGTTTTTTGAACAATTTGTTCATGATTCTTTAGACAGAAATCTTCTTGTCGTCAAAAGCACAATAACAGATACATGTGATTCAGACTACTGTCCAAGAAAAGGTTTGAATTCAACAAATTACTACGACATTGTACTTGTGTAAGTAACCACAATTTTCACTTTATGTTGTCTTAGAATAGCTAATTTATCTTCGTTAACAGTTTAGTATAACAATTTTTTATAAAATTTGTCTGCTTTTAATAATACTCACAAATCTAGTTGTCTTAATTTTTTGATTATTTTTAATTATTTACTTCGGCATTGTTAAATCACACCAGTGGTGTCTAACACCACAGCTATTTCTCAAAAGCTATCTAAATAACCCAGGCCAGATGTATTAAGTAAAATGTTTAGCAACCCAAAAAATCTTACCCAAATGTTATTTAATTTTTAGTCTACAACTTCTAATTTTATCTAATTTTTAACCTAACCCTTAAGTATTGACAAAATTATAATGCGATTTATAATAATTTGATTTATTTTTTATTTTATTTTATTTTTGTATTATTTTATTACTTTATTTTTTTTTATTTTTAATTTTTTAATTTTTTAATTTTCTTTTATTTTTTAATTTTTATTTTAGAAAAACTCAAGCATCTGTGCTACTAGGAAGTAGCTACTTCGAATCATATCTTAAACATTGGCAAGAACCTGACAATATTCTATGTAGTGCAGAATTCAAAACTATAAATGATAAGAAACCAATAAATATTCCTGTAAATGCTTTTAAGAATGATAAATATAAATCAGTAGAAACTGGAAATATCAAGTAAAGTGATTCATTTTCAATAATTACTTACCTACTTTCTATTTTCTAATATTTTTCTAGACATTTGTATCTATGTACGGGCAAGATTAAATCAACAAGACAAATTGACCAGTGGCTGCTCTTGATTCTTGCAATCAACGTTACAGATATTAGTATTACTAATAAAGGAAAATATCTTGAGAATAAAGATCTTCCAGAAGAGATTGATTTTCCTTCTGAAGATGTAGATGTAAAACAAAGATAATACATAAATTGATTTTATTTTTATTTATTAATTGTATAAATGCAGATATTATAACTTTTTCTTGTACTTTATTTTTAATAGATATCGTCTTACAGGAGTTTCCTTTTGCGATGGTAACTATCATATTGCAGATGTTCGTTTTGAGAATGTCAAAAATACAGGATAGTATTAGTATGATGGAATGGGAAAGTCTTATCGTGCAAGGGCAATGTACATAGGAAGTTCACGTCCATCTCACATAGATAACTACACTATGGATTATGTAATTTATATGAAGATCTAAAGAAATTAGTGAGTTACTTGGACATAATATAATTTGAATATCTTTGATATACGCTATTTTCAATTCTTTCAATTTATACACATGTTTTGATTTCACCTAAAAAAATTTCGGGTCATGAATAAAGATGATGTACCTCGCGCGAGGTAAACTTAGTCTATATTTTTCGCGTGATTTATATAAATCATGTGATAAATTTTTAATTTATATTATTTGAATAATTTACCTCGCGCGAGATACATTTCTAGTCATAAAGTAACTAAGTAGTACTAATGGACAAGTCAACATTGAAAAATGTTATCAAAATAATAGCCACTTATAAAGGTAAAACAATAAGGCACTTATAAAGGTGAAAAACAGCATTAAAATGGTGGTTGAAATCTGTTAAATATGAAATTCTGACGAGCTAATGCTAGATATTACTGTTATATTATTAAACGGTTTAGTTTATAAAGTCAAAAAAAGTCTTTACATAATAGGAATTTGTGCTTCCACAAAAAAGAACTTCAGATTTTAAAAAAAGTTATAGCGTCACAAATAAAATCTTAAGAATCTATTCACAATCATTGTTATTAAAAACTTATGAAATTTAATATTAGCAGTTTTTACAAGACTATAGACATGTTCTGTCCTGATTTTTAATTTTGTAGCAGCTTTAATTGTTGTGTTAAACTTCTTAATTAAGACTGTCTTATTGATGCGTTAGTCCAAGAATATGTTGCGACATTGTTTACATAGATTCGAGGCTTCGAGATCGATATGAACAAGGTACAGTACACTTAAAATCGGGTATATAGTATTATATTATATTATATATATATCTATTTACGTATTCATTACTGCATTAAGCAATTCCATAACTGCTAACTTGTGTACCCGGGTATTTAGACCAGAAGATACTGATACCTGGCTATTTTTTATAGTAAGAAATTCTAAATATATAAGCTAGGTGCTGAGAAAAGGGCCCAAATTGACAAAAAAAAGATCTTTAGAAAATCAAATTTTGTCATAAGAAAATATAAACTTTAAAAAGCCATACTGTAAAATTTTATTAATACAACTATTTTTAAAAAATAATCCCAATCTTATTCTAAATTGATTTATGCAAAAAAATTACTTTTGAAAAAACTGTCAATTTGGGCTCTTTTTTCAGCACCTAGCCATATTATCTTACTTTATCGTTATTTTCTCACCTTACAGTATTACTATCTCATTAATTAAATAATATTCTCCCTTGATTGTCTGAAAAATTGACTGTGCAGACCCAATTGTTTCTAGTTACTCGATTGACCAAAATCTGAAATTTACGTTTTTACAATGAATTTTTAACAAAATGATTATAAGGAGCATTCAATTAATCACACTGATTGAACAACAAAGCGAACTGTTTCTACTCTTGCTTTTCAAATATTGTGCTTAATCAAATTGCTTATTTATTTTTAATGAATATTTATTTTAACTACAGGAACATTTTGAAAACCAAATTGAGTGGTATTACCATTACCTAATAATAAATCTTTATGAACTTTAATACTGAATGAAATAAATTGAGAATCATTACCTGATAGTAAATCTTTATAAGATCCCGCTTTTAAATATGCTAATTAGTAAATATTCTATATACATATTCGTAGGCTTAATGTGAGATCGTCGATCAAGAATTACTTAATAACAAATATTTGTAAGTCTTAATGCTGCAAGCATTAGAACACCAAGTAACATACAGCTGACAAGATCTTGAGCGCAACAATACCAGACGGTTTAAAAGAATCTCTACCAACCTTTCGAATACCATCCAACTAGGTTTCGAAATACACAGACCGAATCCTCCACTGATTTTTTTTGATATTGTCTAGTCTATCATAAGAATTAGTTCTAGTTGAATCTCTTCATACGATCATTGCCTTGTCCATCTTGAATCATTATATCAGACTACATTTATCCGCGCGATTTTGGAATTTTTGAAGGCTATAAAAACTGTATTCCACAATTGGTGCTTGAACCGAAATCAATATGTTGAATAGCAATATAAATCCGCTTACTACAGACAAGCTTCGTTTGTACCTCTCACGTGTCTGTTGGCCCTTAAATTCAGACGGGTACGGGCTCAAACCCGGCCCTTAGACCCGTACCTGCCTGACTTTAAAGGCCTGCTATTGGCAACAGGCATAAATGAGATACATATGAAGCTTGTTTGCAGAAAGTGGTTTATCATGCTATTTAACATGCCGATTTCGATTCAAGCACCAATTGTGGAATACAGTTTTTATAGGCTCTAAAAATTCAAAAATCGCACAGGTAATTTTTGCGGAAGTCTACATGTGAGACACCATACTTCATGTGTATTATTCATATAAGATTAGATTTGGCTAAAGTGCCACCTAAGCATTACACTAACGAAAACCTGTAAAATTTTCTGTAATGATTTGTAAAAACTTAGTTTGCTTATAAAAGAATATGTTTCTCTGGATTTCAGTTGGAATAACAAACTTGAACCAGAAGAACAAGAAGCATTAGTCAAAAACGCCACGTTGACCTCTCTGAAGTTTAGTTGGAATACAAACTTGAGCAGAAGGACGAAAAGTATTAGCTGATGCACTTTGTAAGAATACCACGTTGACTTCTCCGAATTTTGCTTGGAATAACAAACTTAGATCAGGACGAAAAGTAGACACCACGTTAGTTCCTTTAAATCTTATTAGAACAACAAATTTGATTAGAAGAACAAAAAGCATTAGCTGATACGCTTTGAAAGGACATCACATTGACTTTGCTGGATCATAACTAATAAAGTTCTATAAAATACCTTTCTAATATTGCTATAAATAGGATTCCTAAATAGTGAAGTCTTTATTAATCAAATGCAGTTGTTTTCCAAATAGCTAAACTGCCTCTTATAAAGTATGTAGCACTAAATTTTCATTTCTCAGGATAAAACCTCTCAACCATATACAGTACTATACTAAAGGTTTTAAAATTGGTGAAAGGAAATAAACCCGGATCTTGTATACGCACTTTTACGGTAGTTTCGTAGATAACTCTTGAGATAGTGCCTTGTATCTCTAAATGTGCCCATAAAAACTGAACTTCTAACGATATGCGTTTAAAAACAATAAAAAAATGTAAGTATACTTGCGTCAGGATTTAGAAAGAGGGAGGTCGTTATCTAACTCATTACGGATTAGCAAATTTTACCTATTAAAAAGTGGGTTAAAAAGCGAGTTTTATGAATAAAATAAAAGCAAAAGTGGATTTTTATCTTACAAAAGCGGTTTTTTGCATGATAAAATAAAGAAAAGCAGATTTGCACAAGCATCTATATTAAAAGACGGGTTTCACATAGTATAAATGATAAATGCAGATTTTACATCATTATCTCAGGTTTTACATGATATAACCAATCAGCGCGGGTTTTACAATTTAGTAATGCGGGTTTCACCCTGTCGTATTATTATTATAAACTATTTGAGTTAATTAGTGATTTGCCAGTCAACCAGAGAAGATCTACAAATTTTTATAAGTAAATTTTACTATTAAGCTAAATGTGGAGTGCACCAATCTAAAACTTTTTTTCTTACTAAGTGAATCATTCTT